CTGATCCTCTTTATTGAACACTCTGCCTGACCTCTCCCCCTTCCACCCATTCCCCAAAACCAACTTCCATAGCATTGTTCTAAGAGGCAGATCTGGCCGGGCGTGGTGGCTCATGCCTGTAATCCCAGCACTTTGGGAGGCCGAGGCGGGCAGATCACAAGGTCAGGAGTTGGAGACCAGCCTGGCCAACATGGTAAAACCCGTCTCTACTAAAGATACAAAAAATGAGCCAGGTGTGGTGGCAGGCACCTGTAATCCCAGCTACTTGGGAGGCAGGAGAATCGCTTGAACCCGGGAGGTGGAGGTTGCAGTGAGCCAAGATCGTGCCATTGCACTCCAGCCTGGGCAACAGGGTGAGACTCCATCTCAAAAAAAAAGAGGCAGATCTGACCATGTCCCTTCTCTCCCTAAAATCCTCCAATGACTGCCCCCTGCTTAAGGCAGAAAGTTCTAGTTCCTCAGCCCAGCTTTCCAGGCCCTTCATGGATGCCCCTGCTCTTCTCCCAGCCTCCACTCCCTCTGCTCCCCTGAACCTGCCACGCTGTAGCCATCACAAACTTCGTGCCTTTGCATTTGCTATTCTCACTGCTTGGTATGTGCTCCATGAATTTCTATGCATTCTTCAAGAATCAACCTTGCCTGGGTTACTCCTCGGTTTTATAACACCTTATGCACAACTCCACAGTGGCAATTATCATGTTGTATTAGAGCTGTCTGGTTGTGTTGGTGACCCCATCCAACTGGGAATGCCATGTGAGGCTGTATATTGCCTATGGCTTTATCCTGTGCCTGGCACATGGCACCTATGTGTTGAATGAGAAAGGAAGAAGTAAATGAATGGCAATGAGCGAGTGAAACAGTGACATCCTTGATGGTGTGGGTGGGGTTGGAGTGGGCAAGGGATCCTGATGAAAGGAAACAACAGAACGCAGCATGAAGACACAAGAACCGACTCCAAGAGGGAGGTGAGGAAGCTGCCCCGGGAGTGTTCCCCCCATCTCTCTGTGGGAGTCCATCCTGGACCGGAGCTGTGTGCTCTGAAATCCTCGGCATCCCTGTCATTTCCTTGTGTTTGTTGTTTCTGCTACCCCTGTGAGGAAATGATTCTTAACCCTGCCCCTGGGAAGAGTTGCTCAGACCTTACCCAATGCTGTTTTCTTCTGTGTAAGATGAGGGTGGGAAGGCGGCTGCACAGCTCACTCCTACTCCAGGCACCAGAACCCTCCTGGTAGGGGGTATCGAGGGCAGGGCCTGGGAGTTTGGCCCGCAAGGCCAGAGCCAGGACAAGAGACTGGGCCTGTGAGAAGGGGGAACCAGGAAGCCACAGGGCCTGGAGGCTGGATCACTGAGCCCTGCGGCCACCACTTGATCCCCCAGGATGGACTCCTGTCCCAGGTCTCTTGTGCTTAGCCACATTCCTGATGACACAGCACTTCACGCTTAGCTGAGCCAAAAGAGCAGGAATCACCCAAACTTTGGGTCAGGAGGTTGGGGGGAGAAACTACCTATTTTATTCACTTTCAGGACCCAACAGCATGCCTAGCACATGGCGGAGGAGCTCAAAAACTGTTGGGAAGAAGGAAGGAAGGAGGGAAGGCCGTCTGTCCTTGCTGGAGCCAGAGGGCTATAGGGAAGAGGCACTTCCAGAGGCCGATCCTGGTGGTAAATGTGGCCATCAGAGTGAGGGACTGCTTTGGAGAGGGGTGGAAGGCTGGGGGTCAGAGTCTCCTACACCCACTTCCCACCTTCTCAAGCTCTCTGCCCAAATCTTGGAGGTCTGGGGTGGGCATCTCAATGGACCCTATTCCTGTTTAAAGATATCCCCCACCCTCTTCCATGGCAGGGGTTCCCAATTCTGGGTGGGCATCAGAATTACCTGAGAAGCTTTAAAAAGTGAAGATTCTTCAATCTAAATGCCCATCTGTGATACAGTGGATAAAGAAAATGTGGTACATATACGCTATGGAATACTATACAGCCATAAAAAGGAACAAGATAATGTCCTTTGCGGGGACATGGATGGAGTTGGAAGCCATTATCCTCAGCAAACTAATGCAGGAACAGAAAACCAAACACTTCAGGTGCCCATTTACAATCTGAATGATGAAAACACATGGACACATGGATGCAGAAGGGAACAACACACACTGGGGCCTACTGGGGGTGGGATGGGGGGAGAGAAAGCATCAGGAAGAATAGCTAATGGATGCTGGGTTTAATACCTAGGTGATGGAATGATCAGTGCAGCAAATCATCATGGCACACGTTTACCTATGTAACAAACCTGCACATCCTGCACATGTACCCCTGAACTTAAAATAAAAGTTGAAGGAAAAATGTGAAGATTCTTGAGTCCCACCTGAGGCCTCCTTGAGGGAGGCCTCCTCTTCTCCCTCTTTCATAAACTGTTTTGCCAGGATCTGAGCCCTCTTTCTTTTCTTTCTTGTCTTTCTTTCTCTCTTTCTCTCTTTCTTTCAATGGAGTTTTGCTCTTGTTGCCTAGGCTGGAGTGCAGTGGCGCGATCTCAGCTCATGCAACCTCACCCTCCCTGGTTCAAGTGATTCTCCTGCCTCAGTCGTCCCAAGTAACTGGGATTACAGGCACCTGCCACTATGTCGGGCTAATTTTTTGTACTTTTAGTAGAGATAGGGTTTCTTTATGTTGGCCAGGTTGGTCTCGAACTCCTGACCTCAGGTGATGCACCCGCCTCGGCCTCCCAAAGTGCTGGGATTACAGGCATAAGACACTGTGCCCGGCCTCTTTTTTTTTTGAGATGGAGTTTCACTCTTGTTTCCCAGGTTAGAATGCAGTGGTGCGATCTCGGCTCACTGTAACCTCCACCTCCTGGGTTCAAGCGATTCTCCTGCCTCAGCCTCCCGAGTAGCTGGGATTGCAGGTGCACACCACAACACACTGCTAATTTTTTGTATTTTTAGTAGAGACGGGGTTTCATGTTGGTCAGGGTGGTGTCAAACTCCTGTCCTCAGGTGATCCACCCAACTTGGTGTCCCAAAGTGGTGGGAATACAGGCATGAGCCACCGTGCTCAGGCCCCAAGCCCCCATTCTTTCTGTAACCTCAAGATGGCATATAAGCTTCTGCACCCCATTGCAGGGTGAGGAGTAATCAACCACTCTGTGGTTCTCCCTGTGTGCACATTAATAAATTTGCATGCCATTTCTTCTATTAATCTGCCTTTTGTCAGCTGACTTTTCAGTGAACCTTCAGAGGGCAAAGGGGAAGTTTTCCCTTGGCTTCCATACCTTCCACACCCTTCTTCCACCCAGCCAGACAGAAGTCTTTTCTCTTTCCTGTGTCTCTCCCAGCACCTCCCTGTATCACAGCACCCATCACTCCGCCCTGTTATTATTTAATGATGTCTGTGCCAGACAATTTGTGCAACCTGCCTTGTTTAAGCCTCCCAAGAATCCTTGGAGGTAGATGATGATGAGGATGAGGATAAGGATGATGATGATAGCAACAAAGACTCTGCAGGAAAAAAGGCTGCTCTAAGAATTCTCTATGTGCTGCCAGACCCCTTCATCCTCACCACAGCCCTGTGAGGGGTAGGTTTCATTATTATCAAGTCCATTTTACAGACAAGGACACTGATGCCCAGAGAGGTGAATTCATTCGCCCTTGGTCACACTGGTAAGTGGTGGAGCCAGGATCTAACCCAGGCAGTGCTCCAGTTACCCACTGGGCTTCGGCCCTTATATACATGAAGACCCTGAGGCCCAGGGAAATCATTTTTCCAAACTCACCATTCTCATAAGGGGCAGAGTCATAATTTGCATGCAGTAACCTCTGACCCCATGGCTCCACTCTCCCACATGGCCCCTGTTTAAACCTGCTGCAAAGTAATCTCCAGGTCAAGCTCCTATTCCTGGCCTGTTCTATGATGTTCCCTTCCTCTATTCCACAAACCCCCAGAGACCTGCCTTCCTATCTTCCCAACATGGACTTCCCTCTGATCTCACTCCCTACCCATCCTGCCCCACCTCGAGTTCCCTGGAAAGGCACACCCTGCCCTTACTGAGGTCACAGCTTCCCTGGAAGGCAGAGATCCAGCAACAGTTGGGAGCTTCTCCCATTACTTCTCTATTCCACATTCTGGACTAAGCAGGCAGAGGCAATGGGGGTGTGGGGGTAGCACCCTCTTCCCCTCCCTGGGATTCTTTGTCAGTAAAGTGGAGAATGGCCCTGCCCTGGCTGCCTGCCAGGGCCAAGAAGACGTTCTGATGGGATAATGGAGCACAAAGCTTCATAAACGCTGGTGGTCCAGCCCCGAATGCCTCACTTCTGGGCCATGACAGGAGGGTGGGGTCCCAACCAGCTGGAGACCCAACCCCACCAAGCTGGCAAGTTACCTACCCACCCTGCGCCCCAGCAGTCCCCTCTAAAGTACATTCTGCATAGAATCACTATAAGAATTGACTGCAGCACAGACTGTACACATATAAAGGGCATCGCGCACAGAGGAATAGTTCCATAAATAAATGGTAGCAATTATGTGAAGGGCCCGGCCTCCCTCTGTAGAATCAGAGCTGTGAAATCAGGCACCTTTTCAGAGAACTCCAGTGGGAAACCAGCTCTCCAGAGTGGGCCCTCAGTTCAGCCATCCCACCACTGAGAATAACTCTAGCTGTCCAGCTGGGCAACAGCTGGCTTTCAAAATTGCATTGTAATCTTGTAATCACAGATATCCTTTTTTAAAAAAAAATGTCACCCAAGCTGAAGTACAGTGGTGCAATCTCAGCTCACTGCAACCTCTGTCTCCTGGGTACAAGGGATCCTTCCGTTTCAGCCTCCAAAGTAACTGGGACTACAAGCACACGCCACCACACTTGGCTAATTTTTTTTTTAGAGAGACAGAGTTTCACTATGTTGCCCAGGCTGGTGTCAAACTCCTGGACTCAAGCAATCCACCCACTCTGGCCTCCCAAAGTGCTAAGATTACAGGTAAGAGCCGCCGTGTCCAGCCCTGCAGATATTCTTTACCTCACAGAAGTTGTAGAGCTCTCAACCATCTGCTTTTCTCATCAGTCCTTTACAAAGCCTGCAGAAGGAGTTTGCGTGCTTCCGTGCTGACCTGAGCTCATCTCCAGCTCTGTGTCTTACTTGCTGGGTGATCTTGGGCAAGCAGTTTCCCTTCTCTGGGCCTCACTTTGCTTCATCTGTAAACTGGGTGGGATACTCAGCCTTTGAGGGTTCCTGTGAGAATTACAAGCATCAGGCACAGAGGAAGAAGATAATAGTCCTTAAATCACCATTACCCTCATTTTCGAGATGAAGAAATTGAGGTTCGGAAAAGCTCCCTTACTTGCTCCACAGCTAGGACGAAGCAGGGTCGGCTCTGAGTCCAGGACTCTGCCTCCACACAAGAAGCCTCCCCCAGTTTTAAAACTTCTGACACTATGGGGTATGGCTTTGGTTGCTCAAAAACAAAGACCAATCTCAGGGTCCTGTTTTACATGCCCCTTTTTACAACTCTTATTAAGTTACAGCCAGCCTGGCCCAGATGCAGCACCAGGTCCTCCAGAGTGGGTCAGAGGGAACAAGGTGAAAGCCAACACGAGCGTGGAGGGTGAGGCCGTGAGCCCTGTTGTCTGCCAGAAGGCCCACAGACACGGGACAGGAAAGCAATGGGCTTGTCCCAGTCGACCGCATGGTGAGGACACAGTGACCTCATCCCCACAGCCATGAGCACTCTTGTCAGCACCATGCTCCAATTTTACAGCCTGAGTCAGCGGGCAGAGGGACACTGTGCATTTAATAGCCTGACATTGTGCAGAGGGACACTTTGCATTGCCCTGGCCTCAACCCTGCTGATTTATTCGGGCTACCTCAGAGTAAAAGACAAGAATTCTCTTCTCAAGCATCTGGCTCTGGGTAACTTACTTCTAATCCTCTCTTTTGAAGACAATGATAAAACACCATTTTTCACTGATCCAATTGACAAAGACTGAAAAGACAAACCACACCCAGTATCGACCGGAGGATTTCGAAAAGCAGGTCTCTTTACAGCTGATAGAAGTGCAAAATGTACCATTTTTTCTGAAGGGCAATTTGGCAAAGCTTTAAAAATTCACCTGTTCTTCAGCCCTGTAATCCTTCTCCTACAGTGATATGTACTGGGTTCTTGACACAAAGTTGTCCTTCACAGAGTTGTTCATAACTGCCCCAAAATGAAAACTGCCGAATTATTCATCAAGATGAAACTGCTTCATTCAATGATGGGCTATCAGTCAACCATTCAAAATCATGTTGGGGCTGGGCACGGTGGCTCACACCTGTAATCCCAGCACTTTGGGAGGCCAAAGCAGGCAGATCAGCCTGACCAACATGGAGAAACCCTGTCTCTACTAAAAATACAAAATTAGCCAGGTGTGGCAGCGCATGCCTGTAATCCCAGCTACTCGGGAGGCTGAGGCAGGAGAATCGCTTGAACCCGGAAGGCGGAGGTTTTGGTGAGCCAAGATCGCACCGTTGCACTCCAGCCTGGGCAACAAGAGCGAAACTCTGTCTCAAAAAAAAAAAAAAAAAAATCATGTTGGGGGCAGGGTGCAGTGGCTCACACCTGTAATCCCAGGACTTTGGGAGGCTGAGGAAGGTGGATCACTTCAGTCCAGGAATTTGAGACCAGCCTGGGCAACACAGCGAGATCCCATCTCTCAAAAAAAATTTTTTTAATTTAGTGTGTTGGCACATGCCTGTGGTCCCAGCTACTAGGGAGGCTGAGGTGAAAGGATCACTTGAGCCCAGGAGTTGGAGACCAGCCTAGGCAATACAACAAGACTCTATCTCTTTAAAAAAAAAAAAAAAAAAAATTAGCTGGGCATGGTAGTGTGCACTTGTAGTCCCAGCTATGTGGGAGGCTGAGGCAGAAGGATTGTTCGAGCCCTGGAATTCAAGGCTGCAGTGAGCTATGATTATACTATGGTTATGCCACTGCACTCTAGCCTGGGCAACAGAACCAGAGCCTGTCTTTAACAACAAGAAGAAAATCACATTGGGAAGAATATTTACTCACACAGGAATGTTCATGAGAGATCAAGAGACAAAGCAACTTAAATCCAGAATGATTTGCATTGATATAACCTGGCTGGATAAGCTTTTCCACATTGAGGATTGTCCCCTTGGAACAGTCCCCATTGGAACCCAGCTACCATGCTATAAGGAAGTCCAGGCTATCCTTCAGGAGACAGAGGAGGATGCGACACCATATGGAGAGAATGGCCCAGTCATGTGTCCAGCTGAATGCCACTGCATGAGTCACCCCAGCTGCCATCATGTGGGACAGAATTGACCAGTCAATCCACAAAATCATGAGAAATAATAAGCTGTTGCTGTTTAAAGCCACTAAGTTTTCAGATGGTACTCTTTTTTTCTTTTTTCTTTTCTTTGTTTTTTTTTTTTTTTTGAGATAGAGTCTCACTCTGTCGCCCAGGCTGGAGTGTGGTGGCACTATCTCAGCTCACTGCAACCTCCACCTCCTGGGTTCAAGTGATTCTCCTGCCTCAGCCTCCCGAGTAGCTGGGACTACAGGCATGTGCCACTATGCCCAGCTACTTTTCGTATTTTTAGTAAAGATGGGGTTTCACCACGTTGGCAAGGATGGTCTCGATCTCTTGACTTCGTGATATGCCCGCCTCAGCCTCCCAAAGTGCTGGGATTATAGGCGTAAGCCACTGAGCGGGCCCCTTTTTGTATTTTTAGTAGAGACAGGGTTTTGCTGTGTTGGCCAGGCTGGTCTTGAACTCCTGGTCTCAGGTGATCCACCTGTCTCGATCTCCCAAAGTGCTGGGATTACAAGCATGAGCCACTGCACCCAGCTTGACATGGTTAATCTACAGCAATAGATAGCTGTGGCACCTTGTTTGCGTTCCTAGATTTTCAGAATGCACACAGACCACAAGAGCAGAAGCACCTGTGTGGAGCATTCAGCTTAGTTGTGCACACCTGGAAGGCAGAGCTTTAAGTGACTCCAACTTACTGAGCCTCCACCACTGGCCAGTCATTGTGCAGCTTCCACAAATACCATCACGTACTAGGTACTTAATAAGTATTTATGGAATAAGTGAATACATGTCTTAGTTAACACACACTGTAGCCCTGGGAGGTAGGAATTGTTTTATTATTATTATTGTTATTTTCTTTATTTTTTTTGAGACAGAGTTTCACTCTTGTTGCCCAGGCTGGAGTGCAATGGCACAATCTCGGCTCACTGAACCCTCCACCTCCCAGGTTCAAGCGAATCTCCTGACTCAGCCTCCCTAGTAGCTGGTATTACAGGCATGAGCCACCACGCCCAGCTAATTTTGTATTTTTAGTAGAGATGGGGTTTCTCCATGTAGGTCAGACTGTTCTCAAACTCCTGACCTCAGGTGATCCACCTGCCTCAGCCTCCCAAAGTGCTGGGATTACAGGCGTCAGCCACTGTGCCTAGCGGAACTGTTTTATTATTACTTAACTGATACCTATTCATTGCAGAAAAATGCAGATATTACAAAAAAGAAAATAATAATTACCCCTAATTCTACTCTCCATAGTTCATTTAACATTTAGCATATATCTACAGAAGTCCAAATATATTACCTATGCATATTTACTTTTAAAAATGTGATAAACATATTGCTCTGCAACCTGTTTTTTTCCCTTCAAAAATACTTTTTGACTTTCTTACCATGTCAATGAATGTAGAGTCTTCGTTCAACAACATTTTTGTGGTTTTGTTTTGAGACAGGGTCTTGCTCTGACACCCAGGCTGGAGTGCAGTGGAGCAATCTCGGCTCACTGCAACCTCCCCTTCCCAGACTCAAGGGATCCTCCCACCTCAGCCTCCTGAGTAGCCAGGACTACAGACACGCATCATCACGCCCAGTTTATTTTTGCATTTTTTGTAAAGATGGGGTCTTGCCACGTTGCCCAGGCTAGTCTCAAACTCAGGCTCAAGTGCTCTGCCTGCTCGGTCTCCCAAAGTGCTAAGATTATAGGCGTAAGCCGCTACCATGCCCGGATTTCAACAACATTTTTGTTTGTTTTTGAGACGGAGTCTCACTCTGTTGCCCAGGCTGAGACAGGAGAATTGCTTGAACCTGGGAGGCAGAGGCTGCAGTGAGCCAGGATCACATCATTGCACGCCGGCCTAGGTGACAAGCGCGAAACTCCGTCTCAAAAACAAACAAACAAAAACTCCCTTTTTGGTGACAGCTGGCTTAAATGCATTGATGCTTGCAACCAAAATATCCTAACAATCACTACTTCAAGGAAATAGGGAAGATAGGACTCTCAGCCACAAGACCAGGCCTCTGGGAACCAGTTAAAAGAACCACGCAGGACAGACTGCTGCCTGAGCACTCTCTGTAAGTAAAGACTATACCAGTCACTTTACAATACCAGGTGCACAGGCTGGAATGTAAGCTCCTTGAGGGGAGGGCTCTATAGCCAAGCAGTCAAAGCCCTCCATGATGTGCTTTCTACCTCCCAGCCTCAGCCCCAAATGTCGGGTTGGGCACTGGCCAGGTTGTAATGTCCAATTCTAAAGCCTACCCAGCTGTCACAACTATAAATCTAAGCCAGCGTTCCAGCCCGCCAGGAAGACGGTATAACACGTTCTAGAAGTGGCATTGGGTTTTCCAAGTACCTTCATCCCCATTGTCTCCTGTGATCGTCCCAACAGGGTCCACCAGCCCAACTTTAGGGGCATGGAAATGAGGGAGGCAAAGGGGTTAAGCAACCTGCCTGAGGGGTAGGTGAATAGAAGAACTGTGACTTACATTCAAGTTTGAGCCAACCATGCCACTGGGAGAAGGATCGAATAACACTTGATCTTTATTATCGTAGTTTTAAAGATGAGGAAACTTTAAATGAGATACCTAGAGTAGTCAAATTCACAGAGAAAGTAGAACGGGGGTTGCCAGGGATTAGGGGTAACAGGGAATGGGAAATTATTATTTAGTGGGTTCAGAAGATGAAAAAATTCTGCAGATGGATGATGGCAATGGTTGCACAACAGTGTGAATGTACTCAATGACACTCAACTGTAATCTTAAAATAGGTAAAATGGTAAATTTTATGTCATGTAGTTTAATTTTTTTAAGTGAGGAAATTGAGGTCTAATAGCATAAAGGTGTAGAGCAGATTTTTTTTTTTTTTTTTTTCCTGGGATGGAGTCTTGCTCTGTCACCCAGGCTGGAGTGCAGTGGCACGATCTCAGCTCACTGCAACCTTTGCCTCCCGGGTTCAAGCAATTCTCCTGACTTAGTCTCCTGAGTAGCTGGGATTACAGGCACCTGCCACCACGCCCAGCTAATTTTTGTATTTTTAGTAGACACGAGGTTTCACCATGTTGGCCAGGCTGGTCTCCAACTCCTGACCTCGTGATCCACCCGCCGCAGCCTCCCAAAGTGCTGGGATTAAAGGCATGAGTCACCACGCCCGGCCTTAGACTAGATTTTATGCAAAGTCTGGGGACAAACCAGGTTTAATTCTTAGCTCGGCCACTTGCTGACCTGCTCCACCTTGGGAAAATCACTCTGAAACTGTGCTTCAGTTTCCTCCTTTGAGAAATAGGACAAAAAATAGTAAATCTAGAATTCATTATGAGAATTAAATGAGATATTAATAACCCCATACCAATCACTTACCTGGCACATAGTGAATTAGCAACACATACAACATTATTATGACGAGGTTTCTCAAACCAGAGCAAGAACAGTCTTTCAGATGCTTGAAAAGTCTTGGCACTTATCTGTTGCAACCCCTTTGTTACAAAGCCGAAGAGACTGAGGGACAATGACTTGCCTGAAGTCACCCAGTCAACTTGTAACAGAGCCCAGAGTTGAACCAAACCACTCTTCTCTGAGTCCAGAGATCCCCAGCTCCAGCCAGCTCACAGTGCTTTCCTTTTTTAAAGAACTAAACTGCCGTGGATTTGAGGCATGAATCTCAAGCCTCGATGTGGAAAGCGGGGGCTCCTGTGGCCAACTGATTCTCACTCTCCCTCTTGCAAAGCATGAGTCAGCCCCAGTATAATGTGTGAGTCAGCCAGCTCCCCTGTAATGAATGTGCATATGACTGCCAGGTGGCACACAGGTGGGGGCTGGGTGGGGCAAGTGGGCACAGCTAGACACCGGCTGCTCTGTCCGGGCGTAAGCTGTGTGCTTTCTTTCAGATCCAAATTGCCGCATGGTGGTATCTAGAAGTCAGGAGGCCCAGGTTTTACATCTTCAATTTGCTTCCAAATTCTTCCTTCACTGTGATCTCAAGCAAGTGGCTTAATTTCTTTGTGCCTCAGTTTCCACAACTGTGGATACATGAATAATTCTAGTCTTGCCTGCAGCATAAGGTGTGGGGAGGACCCAAGGAAAGACATGTGGGAAGGAGTTTTGCAGAGTTACAAAGTTACATCAAAGCCAGGTACAGTGGTGCTGGCCTGTTGTCCCAGCTACTTGGGAGGCTGAGGCAGGAGTATTGCTTGAGCTCAGGAGTTTGAGGCCAGCCTGGGCAACATAGCCAGACCCTATCTCTAAAAGGAAAAAAAAGAAAGAAAAAGTTATATTGGCATGAAAGGCATTGTCATTCCACTTCTCTGGAGAAATATGATTCTAAGAATAAAACAAAACTATGCCAGGCTATTTGCTTTTCCCATCAGTCCTTGGGCTTCTCAGGGTCCCTCTGGTCTCCTTGCTGTTCCCCCAGCCTCAGGGTGCCAGGTTAATTCCTCAGACTCAATACTTGTGGAGGGCTTACTGTGCACTAGGCCCAGGGCCAAGCCATTGAATCCTCCCCAGAGATCTCCAAGGTCAACATTATTCCGGGTCTTAAAAAAAAAAAAAGAGGGCCAGGCGCGGTGGCTCACGCCTGTAATCCCAGCACTTTGGGAGACCGAGGCGGGTGGATCACTTGAGGTCAGGAGTTCAAGACCAGCCTGGCCAAACGTGGTAAAACCCCGTCTCTACTAAAAATACAAAAAAAGTAGGTGGGCGTGGTGGCAGGCACCTGTAATCCCAGCTACTCAGGAAGCCGAGGCAGGAGAATCGCTTGAACCCGGGAGACAGAGGTTTCAGTGAGCCGAGATTGTGCCACTGCACTCCAGCCTGGGCAAAAAGAGTGAGACTCCATCTCAAAAAAACAAAAACAAAAACAAAAAAACCACAGATTATTCTGGGCCTTATTTTACAGAGAGAAAACTGAGGCTCACTGGTAATAAGCAACTCACCAATCGCAAGGTGGAGCTGGGCCATGAAGCCAGACGTCTGGACTGTTCCAGAGTTCTGCCCACCCCACGGGGAAGAAAGCTACTGGGGGAAGCACCATCAGGTCTCTTCTTCCAACCTCACAGACCAGACCTCCAGAAAACAATACGTGGAAATCGAGAGGGGCAGATCCCTGTAACCCTGAAGAAAATCAGGCTTTGAGAATGTAAAAAAATGGAAATAATAATAGTTACCACATTTCAAGTATTTACTGTAGGACAGTCACCTGATACACGTTTCCTTACTTCATATTCACAATAATTCTTAGAGGTGAGTACTGCTATTAGCCCCATCTTACAGTTGGGGAAACTGAGATTCAGGTGAGGTAACATGCTCAAAGACATATAGTTAGCAGGTCTGTTTCCAAAACCTGTGGTCCGCCCACCACATACCACTGTCAGCCTCCTCCTTCATTCATTCTTTGATTCATTCATTTATTAAACATTTATAGCTTCTTTCTTGTGCCAAATAACTTGCTGGACAGAGGGAAGACAGGAATACCTGAGCCCCAGCCCTAGAGGAGGTCATTATCTCAGAGGCAGATAAGGCTCAAATAATTGTAATCTAAGCGATAAGAGCCAGGCAAAGCAAATTGCTTGTACTGGTGCTGGGTCAGAGCAGGCAGTGCCGGTTGGAGTTTCTGTTGTTTTTGTTGCTTTCTTTAAAGACAGATAATCTGGCAGCATTTGATTTAACACGTTTCTCTAGAGTCAAGTCATCCATTTATTATTTTTTTTTAATTTTTAATTTTTTTTTTTTTGAGACGGAGTCTTGCTCTGTTGCCCAGGCTGGAGTGCAGTGGTGCGATCTCAACTCACTGCAACCTCTGTCACCTGGGTTCAAGCGATTCTCCTGCCTCAGCATCCTGAGTAACTGGATATTACAGGCGCCTGCCACCATGCCAGGCTAATTTTTGTATTTTTAGGAAAGACGGGGTTTCATCATGTTGGTTAGGCTGGTCTTGAACTCCTGACCTCATGATCTGCCCGCCTCGGCCTCCCAAAGTGCTGGGATTACAGGTGTGAGCCACTGCACCCGGCCTACTTATTTATTTTTAGAAATGGGGGGGAATCTCACCTTGTTGCCCAGGCCAGACTTGAACTTCTGAGCTCAAGCAATCCTCCTGCCTCAGCCTCTTGAGTAGCTGGGACTATAGGCATGCACCACCACACCTGGCTCCGTTTATTTTTTCAATCCAGGTGCTGGCACTCACATTTACTACCTGTGTGATTTTGGGCAAATTACTTCCCTGAGCCTTGGTTTTCTCCTTTAGAAAACAGAGAGAAAAAGGCCAGGTGCAGTGGCTCACGCCTATAATCCCAGCACTTTGGGAGGCCGAGGTGGGCAGATCATGAGGTCAGGAGTTCGAGACCAGCCTAACCAACATGATGAAACCCCGTCTCTACTAAAAATACAAAATTTAGCTGGGCGTGGTGGTGCGCACCTGTAATCCCAGCTACTCGGGAGGCTGAGGCAGAAGAATCTGTTGAACCTGGGAGTTGGAGGTTACAGTAGGCTGAGATCGTGCCACTGCACTCCAGCCTGATGACAGTGAGACTCCATCTCAAAAAAAAAAAAAGAAAATAGAAAAATACTCATTTCGTAGAGTTGCTGTTGGAATTAAATTAACTGAAATATTGTATTCCTTCATTCAACAAAAATGTATGAGACCCAGTGTGAGCCAGGTGCTGTTTTTGGTGCTGGGGACACTGGAAGAAGCAGATGGAGACACTCCCTTGGAATCATGGAAATATTTTAAGTTAGAAAAAATTAATTGAAGCAAAATATGCATACAGAAGAGTACGAAAATCAGAAATGTACACAGCTCAATGCACTTTCACAAACTAAACACACCCGCAACCAGCACCCTGATGAGGACACAACATTACTAACACAGTCAGAAACAGGGTGTGACAAGAAAGGCACTCACCTCCCCTATAAAACTTAAGCAGGGGTGGAGGGGGACGGCAGACTCTGTCATCAGGATAAATCATATTTTTAATGCAGTATTTTTGAAAAACCAGAATTAATGCAAAAAATCCATGATGACAAAATATCAAAATTTTAAATAAAAACAGGATTAGTAACATGCTGTGCTGAGTCATATTAAAGCTCGAGGCGAAATAAAAAAAATCAGTACTGCTGATCTGGTCTCCACCTGCCTCACCCTGATTACCAGCACCCGCCCCCAGAGTCACAACCCTCCCTTCCAAGGGTAAGTGCTGTTACCCCAGAGATAAGTTTTGCCTGTTTTTAAACTTTATACATATGAAATCACACTTTTGCACAGCTGCTGTCACTCAATATGATGTCTATGAGATTCAGCCACATCATTGCGTGCCATGGAAAGATGTCTGAACAAAGCAGTGATGTGGTCAGCTATGCATTTTAAAGAGACCAGTGTGGTGGCGGGGAGAAGGATGAATGAACAGTGGTCCTAGCCTGTGCTGTAGGAGGGACTGTCTGCATGGAGAAGGCAGGCAGAGTCCACAGGATTGACTGGATATGGGGAATGAGGGAGACAGAGAGGGGTCAGGGAAGATACCAGATCTCTAGCTAGGGCAATTTGGTGGCTAGAGCAGCCATCTCTAGGGTGGGGACGGGAAGGGATGCGCAAAAATAATGAGTTCAGGTTTGAGCATGGTGAGTGTGAGGGACCTGTGGGACATCCAGAGGGCTGTGCTGGAGGCAGCTGGACAGAAAAGTCTGGTACTCAAGAGATAAGGGAGGGGAATACATCCCTTCAATTCCCCCAGCATCAGCGAGCAGGTGGTGGCCCTGATAAGACCATTTGCAGAGGGTCAAGAAGGGGCATACAGAAGATAAAGAAGGGATGCCGAAAAGCTTTCTGGGAGCAGGTGGTTCAAGCAGGAATGCAAATCAGAATGAAAATATTAAACACACAAAACTGTCGTGCCTGGCCCATCAGGCCTTCCTGGAATCCAACACTGTGTTTACCTGCAATACAGGAGGATTTGAATTGCAAAACATCCTTCGGATTAGGGGCACTTCCGTCCCAGCCCCTGCTATCCCCCCTTATACCAGTTGCAGCTGACTCAGCAAAACCTTTCCTCCTGGCTGCCAGGGGCGCTTGCCTTTAAAGGCAACAGAGTCTTTTCCCAGCCCGCCTTACTCACTCCTAACTCTGGAGCTGCTAAGACCCGCCCTGCATGGCCCTGCCACCACCACCACCACCACCCCTCCCCCACCCACTTGCGTGCTCTGAGGCACGCGCTAGGCTCCAGCATCCGCCTGGCACCTGACACCTCCCTGCTAGCCAGTCCCAGACAGCTCTTTTCCTCCAGACTAGCTGGGGCTGGAACTGCTTAGAATCGGACCCAGAAGAGGTCGAGTTCCGTCCAGGACTAAAGACAGCCTCCAGGGAACAAAGCTGTCAGTGTGGGCGCAGACTAGGGAAGGGGCACCAGGTCATTCAAGCTGAATGCTGGGGCTCTACAGCCTCCTCACACCCCCTTTAGTGCCTCAGGTAGGGTAGGCCTGTGGGGACACTGAGGTTTCCTCAGGTCCCTCCCCTGCTCAATAACTCTCCATGGCTCCACACTACCCACTGCATAAAGCCCTAACTCCTATAACCTGACATTTGGGAGCCTCTGTGATTCCACCTTCAGTCTCTGTGATTCCTTCAGTCTCTTCTCCTCCCTGAGCCCCCATCCCCCAGCCACAGGGGTTACTTAGCTGCCCCTCCTGCTCCCCTTTCCCCCTGCACCCGAACCTTCTCTGCTCAGATGCTATTTCCTGGGGGCTTCTCTAGGGCTTATTCCCTAGTTGGAGTTAAATTCTGCTTCCAAGGACTCAGCCACCCAAAAAACAAACCAGTCCACCTGAGAATCTAGTCAGTAGCTTCTGATGAATTTGCTTCTGACCAGTAGCCTCCAGGGGTCATAAAACATTCATAGAGAGGAACACAGAGAGGGTAATGGGGTCTGTGTGTGGGCAGATGGGGTGGAGTGGGTGAAGGAAAAGCTTTTCTTCTGGCCACTTTTCTTGTTCCTCAAGTACCACCCTACCATGGGATGGGGATTTGACTGAATTTCTCAAGTCAAGAACGAGTACAGTTTATGTAGCTAAGCCTTTATAAACATCCACTTTCCTTCAGGCCTACCCAGGAAGGGTTTATTATATCTATTTTACAGATGTGGGTCTTCGGGCTCAGAGAAGAGAAGCCATTGTTTGCCCATCAATGTCTGCAAGTAAACAGCAGAGCTGGGACTCCAGAGTCCAGATCTGGGGCTCCATCATCAATCTCTAAGAACGGCCCAGATATTCTTAAGGCCCCTAGGTAATCATTCTGGCAGTCTGCTGCCTTTGCACATGCTCTTCCCTCTGCTGAGAATGGCCTACCCTGGATCCATCTGGTGAACTCCTATTCAGCCTTCCAAACTCTGCTTAGCATGACCTCCCCCTTCCCAGATGCTCTCTCTACTCACTCTCCTTCCCCTGTGGTACAAGTTCTGCTCCTGTACAGATTCTTAACCCTCTATGCTTGACTTGGTACTGTTGCTGCTCATTTCCCCTCTTGCTCCCCCTCCAGCTTGGGGCCTCCATGAGGCTAACAACAGGGTCACATGTCTCTGTCCCTGGGAAAGTGGCCAGCATGGGGCTGGCCCAGAGAAGGACAAGGTGGCTGTTTGGTAAGTGTGACCCATGGGCTGAGTGAGGCAAACCCACAACTGAGAAAAGACATAGACCGTAGACTGGATGTGCTAAGAAACAAGGAGCTGTGGAGAGACTCTGAGCAGGGAAGTAGCAAAACCCAAACGGTACTTAAGGAAAGCCTGGACATATCAGCAGGACAGACTAGAGTGGAAGGAACATTCGAGACAGGTAGATTAGCTGCTCACTCATTCGTGCATTCCCTCCCTCCTTCAATCATTCACCCACGTGCCTCAGCTGCAGAACTAGTCCTCGAGGTGCTCACAGGCTGAGGGAAGGCAGACAGAAGACAAGTGGCAACCTACAAAACACCAAATGGTAAAGGAGAGAAAGATTTCCACTTGGGAGAACCAGGGAAACTTCCCAGAGGAGGAAGGACCCATGGTGCTTTTTGGTATGCTGAGGTGGCGGGGGGGGGGATTCCCAGGCAGAGGAGACAAGCTGAGCAAAGGTGTGGATGTGAGTTGCTGGTATGAGGGGCGAGGTTGAGTGTGTAAACTGGTGCCCCGAAGAAGGACCGTGATGGCCAGGCTTGGCCCTTACTCCCTCCATGACAATTTCAGACAGATGAGCAGGAGAGTGGCAGGGTGCAGGACTGGAGGACGAAAGACCAGTGGAGATGTAGGCCCTGCAGACAGCAGGGGAGGGAAAGAGGATGAGGTGGTGTAGACAGCGGAGTCAGCAGGACTTAGTGGGCTCTGTCCAGGGGTGAGGAGAGAGGTGGCCCCAAGCTTTCCAGGCTGAGCATAGAGAGATCATAGGAATTGAAGCCTTGGGCAGGGGGGTGCCCAGAATGCACCTGCATTCTGTTTCAGGGCTCCATACTCAACCAAGGTGCCCCTCAGCCAGAACTGGACACATTGCCAGAGAACTCCAGGGGTCATCTGGTCAGCTCAGCCTCCTGGTTTCCAACAGATAGTAAGCCTACCATGACTCCCTCCATCAGGAAAGGGACCCTCAAGATTTTGATCAGACCTTTGGACTGGGTGTCCTTCCCTTCACTGTGTCTCAAGCAAGACACTGGTCTAGAGGAAATAAGGTGAAGTCAGATGATAACAATACCACTACCAGTGCAGTGGCACATGCCTACACTCCCAGCTACTACGGAGGCTAAGGTGGAAGGATCACTTGAGCCCAGGAGTTCGAGACCAGCATTTATTTATTTACTAACAAAATAAATAAATAAACCAACAATACCACCAACCAGTAAATGAGAACTTCCATGCTAAACACTTCATGAGCTTATCTGGAAATTGCACCTCTCATGATAGCAATGAGATTGGTGTGAGAATTCCATTTACTCATAAGAAAACATCCTCGGCCGGGCTCGGTGGCTTACGCCTGTAATCCCAGCACTTTGGGAGGCCGAGGTGGGTGGATCACGAGGTCAGGAGTTCAAGACCAGCCTGGCCAAAATGGTGAAACCCCGTCTCTACTAAAAATACAAAAAATTAGCCGGGCGTGATAGCAGGCGCCTGTAATCCCAGCTACTCAGGAGGCTGAGGCAGAGAACTGCTTGAACCCGAGAGGCGGAGGTTGCAGTGAGCCGAGATCGTGCCACTGCACTCCAGCCTGGGCGACAGAGCGAGACTCCGTCTGAAAAAAAAAAAAACAAAACCGAAAAAAAAAAACCGAAAACAGCCTCATTGGCCAGGAATTCGCCCAGGATCGCGGCCGGGCCAGTATACAGTTGAGCTGGTTTAAACCCAAGGTCTATCATGTCCTTAACGTCAGTCAGTTAGCCTGCCTTTCATATTTTACACACTTATAGGTCACCATAGACTCACCTGAACTGTGAGAAGTAGAGGAAGGCGTCCCAGAGGAGGTGATTTTAAAGCCCAGGTTTGAGACGGGTATGCATTTCTAGGCAGAGCCCGGCCGGTGCAAAAGCAAGGCTTGGCTCACAAACGGGAACGTGGGGGGTGGAGACAGGGAAGGGAAAAGTCAATCACTGGGCAAGACCTCCTGGAGTCTCTCTAACAAATAAATACTACTTTGCACGCAGTAGACGCTGTTCTAAACACTTTACAAATATTAACTCACTTGGTCTTTCTATAACCCCACGAGGTGGTACTGTTACTATCCCTAGTGCACCGAAGTCACCCAGCGGCCGAGGGAGAACTCCAGTCCAGCTTTACACCCGCTACTCCGCGCATCCCAGCTTGCCTTACAGCCGGGTACCGGCTCCACCATTTTGCTAGAGAAGGCCGCGGAGGCTCAGAGAGGTGCGCACACTTGCCCTGAGTCACACAGCGAACGCGCTCCGCGGTCCCAACGCACAGAGAGGGCCGATCGGCAGCCTGAACGAGGCAGTGGTTGGGGGGCCCCGGCCCCGGCCCCTCCCCTAACCCCCTCCCCCGCGGAGCACCACCCAGGACAGGCTGGGCCCCAAGCCCCGCCCCGAGGTCCTGCCCACACACCCCTGACACACCGGCGTCGCCAGCCAATGGCCGGGGTCCTATAAACGCTACGGTCCGCGCGCTCTCCCGCAAGAGGCAAGAGGTAGCACCAGCGAGCGTGCCGGTAGCTAGTCGCGGGTCCCCGAGTGAGCGCGCCAGGGAGCTGGAGACCAAGCGACGGGAGTCGGAGTCAGAGTCGCAGTCGGAGTCCCCAGACCAGAGCACAAGCCTGGGCCGGAGAGCGCCGCTCGCACGCCCGCCGCCACCCGCGTACCCGGCGCAGCCAGAGCCACCAGCACAGCGCTGCCATGGAGCCCAGCAGCAAGGTGAGTCGCGCGCCCGCGGGCCCTCCCGCCGGGAACAAAGGCGCGGACTCCTGCACGCCTTCCGCCGGCCAGGGCCTCCCCCGCCGCCCCGCCGCGCTGTGCGCCTGGGGCGGGCCGCGCGCCTCTCCGAGCCTGGCTGGATGCGGGTCCCGAGCGCAGTGCCCCGCCGGGCCGCGCGCCGCAGTGAGAATGGGCTCCGGATCTAGCGGGCCGGAGGGCGCCGCGTGCGTAGTTGGCGCCGGCACCGAGCACGCGGCTTCTTTCCGGGGGCGCCGCGCCGTCCACGCGGCCCTGCTGGTGCTGGGGACACAGGGCCCGGGCGCGGCACGTCGCACACGACCTCGGCGGCGGTAGCCCAGCGTCGGCCCCTCCCGGTGCGGGGGAGGGGGCCCGAGCGCGGCGCCCATTGGCTGAGCGGGCCGAGCCCCCGGCCCAGCCCCGGCCCCGGCGCGCGGAGGAGGCAGGACCCGCCCCCGCTCTCCGCCGGCTCCCCTAACCCGGGCGCCCCAGTAGGTGGGCGGCCTGGTGCGAGATGTCCCGCCCGCCTACCCTACTCCTCCCGCCCGTCCCCCGCGGTGCCGAGGCCGAGGGGAGGGCACTTCTCTCCAGGCCCGGGCTCTAACGCGGGGGTTGAGATGAACCTCCGGTCTTGGAGGCTCTCCTTTCCGAGGAGTGTAGGCCCCAAAGCTTTGGCCCAGTCTCGCGGAGATGTGTTCCGCGGAGGCAGGTTTACCCTCGGGACCGGCGGGGAGCGCAGCCGGAGGGACGGGGGATCCGGGAACCGGGAAAGAGCCCCAGGCTGAAGTCGAGCGGGAGGCGCGCACACCACAGGGTTGGAGAATGAGGGATGGGGACTCTGGGGACCAACAACTGCCTAGATGGGATTTCTTTTTTCATGTGTAGACGGGCTTGTCCTGCAGGGCATCTTTCTAACTTCCGCAGAGCGATTTCTTTCCAACAAATGTTTGTGGAACCCCTCCTGTGTATAGGGCGTTGTTTCTTTCCACCCTCCCTTCCTCCCCAGTCTACAATCTTTTCAAGTGCCCTTTTTCTTTTGAAACGCTCCCTCGTTATTATACTTGGATTTTTCCATCTCAGCTGGGAGGGCATCTGGATGGCCCTTGTTTTCTTAGCTGGGACGCGGGGGTAGCACTGAATTCTGAACTGCCCTTCCTACTGGCTGTGGAGGTGTCCCGGTGGGACTGAGAGGGGTGACGCTGGGCCGTACCCTCGGCGGGAAAAGGCCTTCCGCCCCACACCTGTTGAATCCATGAGTCCAGACGACTTGCTTCACCCTTCCCGCGCCCTCGCTTAAGGTGAGACCCCGAGGAAGTTCCCGGGGAAGGCTCCCAGAATCCTAGGTGAGCCATAAGGGTGGGATATAACTAAACGAAAGTTCAGCGAGAAGCTCTTTTAGCTAGTGGCAAGGAAGTCCAAATATCTCAGGGCTCTTGCAGGCAACTTCTGGGCCTCAGTTTTTCCATCTGAAAGATAGAGATCACTTTTGTCACTTCCTCTAGGGAAGGAACTATCTATTCAGCATGCTATGCCAGACATGGGCATTTATTTGTTGAGTGAATGAGTGAATATTCTACGTGGAGACAGGAAAGTGGAGGAGAAAATCAACAGGTTCTTAGCCAAACTACTTTTCAGCGTCACGGACCATATAGCCCTGCTGGTTACTCACCAGCCTGGAACTCAGAGAAGGGAAATAAGTTTGCTAAAGTCACACAGCTAGTAAGTGGTTGAACTGGATTTGAACCCAGGCCCATCAGATTTAATTTCATTTCTGTCTCCACTGTCTCTCTTCACCACAGCATTTCTTGAATTTTAGGCAAAAGGGAGAGAGTTTGCTTACCTTCAAAGGTGGCTCCTTATGCCAGCTGCTTCTAAATAGTGTAGCAGACGGGTGCTCTTCATGGAGTGCTCTCCAAATTTTCCACTGTCTACCTCGTCAGTAATTAATGTTGGAACACCTCTTTCACAGTGGTATATATGTATTTTTAAATTCATGCACGTGCACTTTGATACTAACAGATTATATGCTTTCACAAAACAGAAATTTCAAAAGACAAATAGATACAAGACGGCAGTTGGGGTCATTTCCCCTCCAAATCTTGTGTAGATCATTCCATATACATTCTGGAATAAAGCCCTTCGCTTTGGAGACTGCTGAGTTGACCTGCAAGCACAACCTTTTTGTGCACGACGTTCAACTGAGGCCTGGAGAGGTCGTATCGCTTGCCTTTCACACAAGATCTGAAAATCAGGTGTGCCTGGCTCCAAAGCCTTGGTTCTGCTATGTTCCTCTTTGTCTCCCAGGAAATGGGAACTGACTTAACTAACTTCCCTGTGTTCCATTGTGCTCCTCTGTAACTCATAGTAATGAGCTTGACCAAATAGGAAGTAGGGGACAGATGGAATCACCTCGCCTCCAAGCCAGGGGTTCGCCCACAATCCCTCCTGGGCAGCACCAGCACGCAAGGGTGAGCCCTGCCCCAGATGTCTCACCCTACCCTTCGTGAAGAACTTGTAACTAGCCTTGCCTATGCCCATCACTCATCACTTTTCTGGCCAGTCTCTATCTTCCAGAAAAGGAAAAATCAGAAATCCGCGGCATCCTCAGCCCCTCTGTGGTGCAGAGAGCATAGTTTTTTGTTTTTTGTCCTTTTTGAGACGAGGTCTCACTCTGTCACCCAGGCAGGAGTGCAATGACACGATCTCGGCTTACTGTAACCTCTACCTCCCAGGCTCAAGTGATTCTGTCACCTCAACCTCTTGAGTAGCTGGAACCACAGACGCACGTCACCATGCCCAGCAAAATTTGGTAGAGACGGGGTTTTGCCATGTTGCCTAGGCTGGTCTCGAACTCCTGAGCTCAGGTGATCTGCCCGCCTCGGCCTCCCAAAGTGCTGGGATTACAGGCATGAGCTACTGCACCCGGCTGAACATAGGTGTTTGTGTATGTGGTTTTGACTCCCAGCTTGCCTCAATTGCCCAGTTTTCATCATTACAGTGTCTAGGAATTCAGAAAAGAATGTATGTCTCTGTCCCCATAGATGCTCCATAAATATTTCTTGCTTCCTTGGACTCCCGTGATGCATTGCACTTACCTGGGCCGTGGGTGACCTGTACCTGGGCCTTGGCCTTTATCTAAAAGCTGGCATTCTGGCAGTATGAGCTTTTGGGGAGTCAGGATGCTGGCCCGTGGGTATTAAGTCAGGTAAATCATTAAAGCTCCCACTAACCCATTCTTCCTAATAGGGGCTTGTCAGGAAGTGAGTAGGGATGGCACATGGGTGAGAGTGCCAGGCCAGGGAGGGTCCGCTCATGTGAGTGCCCTGCGCTGCTTTGGGCTTCTTTGCTTTGCCTTTTTGCCTTAGGCTGCCTGCCTGCCTTTCTGAATTTGGGTCACCCTTGGGATAGTTTGAAAGGGACATTCATGTCCAGTAACTCCTAGGGTCTTCACAACTGCCCTGTGATACAAGTTACAATGACCTCATGGTCCAATAAAAAATGACTTTGCAAAGATCACACACTGAGCCTCCCACCCCAAGACAAGCTGCCAGCCTTTCCAGGATGACATTAGAGGGTGGAAGGAACCCAGAGCAGGAGGGGCCTTCCAGCCATGGCCCAGCCCTCCATTTGACAAATGGGGAAACTGAGTCCAGAGAAGGGAAGAGATTTGTCTGAGATAAGGCTATCACAAAAGATTTCAGGCATTCTACGGAGCTGTGTTTTTTTTGTTTTTTTGTTTTGTTTTGTTTGTTTTTTGTTTTTTTGTTTTTTGAGACTGAGTTTCGCTCTTGTTGGCTGGAGTGCAATGGCACGATCTCGGCTCACCACAATCTTCGCCTACCAGGTTCTAGTGATTCTCCTGCCTCAGCCTCCCGAGTGGCTGGAATTACAGGCATGTGCCACCATGCCCGGCTAATTTTTTTGTAACTTTTTTGGTAGAGATGGAGTTTCTCCATGTTGGTCAAACTGGTCTCGAACCAGATCTCAGGTGATCCACCCACCTCGGCCTCCCAAAGTGCTAGGATTATAGGTATGAGCCACCGCGCCTGGCCTAGCTGTGTTTTTCTTAAAAGATGCTTTCTTATGCACACGCCTGTCTGTGCCATCCTCCACCCACCCCCAAATGAGCAGGAATCCCCAGACACAGGACTTGCCCATGTTCTTTCTGCATGCCATAGGAGCCTGAAAGTTGGATTAGACGTAACTTGACAACTGAAACTCTACTGTAAATGGAAACAAAACACTAGATGTTACCACTAAACTCTGACCTTGAAGAAGTGGCTTTCCTTGGAGCCTTGGTTTCCTTCTCAATAAACAGAGACTTGGCTACCCCCGGTGGATGTGGTGAGACTGGCCCCATGCCCTAAATTAGGGCAGTGGCTATTTGAAGTGGAAAGACCCTTTGTATGGCCAGTCTGGGTGTACGAATGATGTAAACAGCCCCAAGATGATCCTTGTCTAGTACCGAGCCATCCAGGGATTCGACCCTATTTGCCCCGGAGCTGGACCAGCCTCAAATCCCCTGTAATCAGCTTGTGACTTCAAGGAGCTCAGCTTTGCCCAGTGCCTCCTGGTCACGGGGTGTCGGCCCAGAGCTCTGCTCCAGTACCAAGGGTACAGGCATCCAGCTCCCCGCTTCCCTAAGACTGGCAGAGCTGGGGAGGCCTGGAACAAAGAGGAAAGTGTGCAGTGTTGGCTTGGGGCCTGAAACCTCACCCCTTCCCCCACCTCACTCCTGGGCATAGAGGTGATAAAGCCGCTCACTCAGTCTGGTAACTGACATCCCCATGATGGCGGAGGCTGGGAGGCCTCCTGACCGGACTCATGGACTCAGAGAGGCTGTGTCCAGGCCTGCAGGCCCAGCCCTGGCCACCCAAACAAGCCTCCAATTGTTACCTCCCTTCACAGAAGGGGTGGACTGGAGCCTGAGACTCTGTCTTCCAGCCACCAGGCCTGGCAGTAGCTGATGCATAAACATTAGG